AAAAATGCGAAACAGGGAAACACTGGCGCAAAATAGTGGAATGGATCGTTTCAATCGGCGAAACTGGAAAATACGGAACGGATTTTTTTTTAAAAACTGGATCGGCAGTCTGGATCGGCATTTTACATGCTTTGCCGATACGCATTTTTTTGCCAATATCGGCGTCCCGATCCGATCCACGTATCGGATCGGGACAAGCCTAGCCAAAAGGTTTCTAAAAAAATAACTTTTGTTTTGAAGGTGTTGAAACTGTGCAGTCAGGTTTTTGTAGCACCTATAAATGGTTTGTTTATGCGACCCTTGAACTCTACATGTAACATATGTGGCATTTTCATAAATCTTCCACATTCGCTGCACATTTACTGATTAAGGATAACCCACAGAAACATATCAACAGTGTGTGTAATAATGCATCTTATCCTGATTTAAAGAAAAATCTGATTAAAAAAAGGAAAAAAAACAAACCTTCCAGAAAATTTAGCACCAGAAACATTACATGAGAAGATTTGCAATGGGACCTGTACTGCATTCAGGAAACAGATGGATAATAAATATCTGCAAAAACTAGTGCTGCACTGATACCGATACCAGTATCGGGCGGGGCCCCGATCCAGCACTAAAATGGTGGTATCTATATTGGCGAGTACCAACCAATAGAGCACCGATACCACTTTGAGAACCAAATGTTTATTCAACTATTGTCACCCATTCCAGGTAGGAAATAAAAAGTTCTACTGGATTCACTTTGTTTTAGTCTTTTTCCTGCTTCACAAAGGAAGGCAGCAGCTTGACATGAAGCCATGATGGTGATTATTTTACATCCAAGTAGGATGCAGTTCTTCATAGATACACACATCAATTTCAAACAGACGGTATCGGCCAATACTGCACAGCCAGGTATCGGTATTGGAGCCAAAAAACGGAATCGGAGGAGCACTAGCAAAAACCATCCCAATACGCATATCTTATCAACAGCAAGTACATTTGCAGGCATGTTTTTAGTTCAGAAACAGAAAGCAAATCTAAAAGGCGACCTTTAGACTGCAGCTCAATGTGAAAATAACGAAGGGATATAGTTAGTGGACGGTTTTTGAGCCGTTTTGTTTTTTTTACAGGACTGATACACATTCTGTCACAAGATGGAGTCTCTTCTGTCCAGCCGGTTGAGGCAGATGGCCCCGGGATTCGAGTTTGCTTCTGTTAGCCCCTTTTTTTCTACATACAGTCTTTACTATCTGCTCTAAAATCCATCGAAATTATAATCAGAACTGAATACATGAGAAATGATAAAAGGTTTTGTCTTTTGGATTTTTCTAAATAGCCGTCTTTTGGTAAATAAGCAGTAGATATTTTGCCAGTCTTCAGATAAACACAAATCAAAACTTTTAGTTCGTAGAATTTGGTGCCAAAATTATGACGGAATATTAGAGCCAGGCAGGTGATTTTTTTAATTCTATTTCGAGAACAAAGTCATAACATTACGGGAAGAAAGTCGTAAAATTACGAGAAAAAAGTTGAATGTTATGACAAATCTTAAAAGAAGATCTGTCTTCCCTAAAATGAGGAATGTGGAGCATCATGGGAAGTTATACTTTAGCATCGGTTTGACAAATCTGCAGCATCAAACTGGGCAGGATGTCAAAGTGGACTCTGGTTGCTGATTGGTGGAGCTGGTCTGATGTCATCTGCTGGGCGGAGCTCCAAGCTTTCTTTCTGAAGAGGGTTGCGGTTTGATGACTTCATTTTTGTAATATTACAACTTTATTCTCGTAATAAAAAAAATATCTCTAGCCTGGCCGTAATACTCAGTCGTACAAAATACACATCAAATTATTATATTGATCATTTATTTCGAACATTTAATAAAAAGCAAATTTAAGAAAATTAATAAAGTCATAACAAAACAAAACAAAACAAAAAAGAAGAAAAAAAGAAAACATATGTACATCATGTTCGAAAAGGAGTAGGAAGAAGTAATAAAACATATTAAATTTGTAATCAAATTAAAAACATTATTTTTATCTACGTGCTGCAAGAAACAACAGCAGATCATAACAGAGATAGGACGCTAACTTTAAAATGGAAGTTCTTTTTTTACCTTGCTGATCTCAAAACCAAAAACTTCTTCAAAGTATGCAGGTTGGCTGATGAGCAGCAGGTAAAAAGTCCAGCTTCTGCAGAAATTGGCCACAATGATTGCATAGACGGGCATGGAGGAGAAGAACTTCCTCCAGGGGGTCTTGAATTTCTGCAGCAAACAGACGCTCAGTTAGAAGTGAGAGATAGAGGCTCCATATCAAACATTATGAACTGGGTCACAGCCTACTTCTGCTGCGCCCATGAGCTGAGCACTTTCTCCAATGCTCTCTTCGATGTAACGACGCTCCTCTTCGGTGATGGTCGGATGCTCTGCCGGGCTCTCATAGGACACCAGAATCCAGAACATGTACCAAAATATTCCAAAGCATCCTGAGAAGAATGTAAGAAGTTAAGAAGTGTGGAGGACGGCTGATATAGAACCTATGCCTTCAGTGGCACCCCTCAACCTAATCTACTTCTTATCCCTCGTCGTGCAAAAAAATACATATGTCTGAATATTTTATTACTATGCATTTTAATAAAAGAAACCCCCAATAGAATTAAAATATGAAATGTAACCGAGAGGTAGATTAATATGAGTAAAGAGATCAATTAACAACAGCAATCCTCTAGTATATAACCGCCATTCCATCATCTTTACATCATCAGGAGACGTTCAGATTCAATATGCATCAATTTCCAGATAAAATAGAGCATAAAGCATGAAAATAAAATATATCACCAGAGATGCTGATTATTTATTCAATTCTATTCAGTTTATTTCTATAGCTCCAATTCACATCATGTCATCTCAGGTCACTTTCCAGTTCACCAGATCATCCAGTCAGATTGATTCAAAGTTTTCTATCTAAGGCAAACCAGCTGATTGCATCGACTAGTTGACTCTTCA